AACATGGAAGCCATGGTTTACTTCTTCACCATGTTCTTCGTGGCGGTAAGGTCGCCGGGCGCTGCGGGCCTCCGCGAAGGGCTGGGGGAGGTCGGGGGGCCCGCCTGCGCGCCCGGCCGAGCGCCACCAGCGTCACCTCCAGAATACCCCTTTCCAGCTGATTTCCCACCGTGCAGGACACGGAGTAGCTGCGCTAGGATTCTTCCGTTTAGGATGTCCTAAGGGATGTCCTTATACAGATTTTTGGGGTGTTTTATGGTCTACAGCCATGGTGAAGATCGGGAGAGGGAGCTGGGCACCCAGCTTGATTTATTTGAGATGTTTTGGAGTTGTTTTCCCCTTTGTTTTACAGCTGGTAAGTGGCCGTGCCGAATTTGGGATTTAAATTGTCTTGAGAGAGACACTTGCTGTGTTTCTGCCGTTTTAGCCAAAAGCACGTAGTCAAATTATTGATTTTGCCATTGTTAAATGGTGATGTGAGTAACGCTGGAGCCTGGGGAGTTTCTGCTCTGGGAATGGAAAGACTGAAAACATGCCGCTGAGTTATCAAGAAAAATGACGGCTAACCCTCCAGCCCAGGGTTGGCAATGTGCTTTCCCCAGGCTCAGGATCGATCCGCCTTCCCTCGCCGCGAGAATAACGAGTGGAAAAAGTGATTTGCCTGTACACACACAACATAATTAATGTTCTTGCTGCCGGCAGCAAGGTGCCTTGAACTCGACACAGCTGCTAACTGATCCCATGCACACGCGGGCTGCATACCGAGAGCGGCATTTCCACCGGGAAAAGTTTCCTTTTAATACCATGGCAAGGCTCTGCTGAGGAATAGAAAGGAAATAGCCCAGTAACTAATATTACATTTATCTCTTCTCACCACCAGTCTCCAGGCATTTCGCGGGGATCGTTATGTCCGTTGAACAGACAGAGAAACTGAGGCAGGGAGTAGATAAATGCTTTTCCAGAGCCAAAAGCTCTTCCATAGCAAAATCAAGGGCAAAATGCAGGTCTCTGAGCTCCCAGTTTGCTGCTCCTGGGGACCCACTGTTCAAACTCCCCTTTGAAGCACAACGTAGGGAAAAAGGAAAAATCTGCTGCTTCCATAAAAACCGCAAGACTAAAAGTGCACCAAATGAGGCCTCCCCG